ACCGCATCACCCCCAGCCATTTTAGGCCAGGCCACCCCTCGCTCGCCCCATCTCCCCCTTCACTCGCCCCATCTCCCCCCTCGCTCACCGCATCTCCCCCCTCGCTCACCGCATCTCCCCAGTCACCTTCAACAGGTACAGCCTGTGGTCAGACACAACCACAAGGCACATGAACTCCCCGGTGTGGCCTGCCAATGCCACTGGCACCTGGGGGAAGAGGAAGTTGGTGAGACACCTGATGGGAGGTCTGGGGAGGTGGGGCCAGACTGAAAGCCGAGTTCCTGGTGACAGCACCCTCAGCCTGACCTTCCCACTGCCCACCCAGCAGTCTATGGAGCTTCCCTGACACTCGACAGCCTCTTCATCCACCATCGCTCTCTGCCTTGCAGCCCCTGCTCGCTCAGAGTGTCGGCAGCTGGCTTCCCTGCCTGTCACCTCACCCGCTCCACGCTCTGCCAGACTAACTGTTCTAAGGCACAAAACTGACCATCACTGCCCCATTTCAAATCCTTCAGTGGCTCCCAGTGGCCCCCAGTGGCCCTCAAGACCAAGTCCAAACTCCTTGGCAGACACAGGAGGCAGCTCCTGACCTGGCCCCTGCCAGCCCCCCAGAGTCCTCTCAGGACCCCTGCCCCTCACCCTGCACATCCAGATGCCTTCATCCTGGGCAGCTCCCCCTACCGGTGACAGTCTCGGGCCTGCATGCATTTGCTGCTTCCTTTACCTAATACATTCTTTTCCTCCCTACTCCTTAACTTATCCTTCAAGACTTAGCTTAGACATCACCTCCCAGGAAGACTCCTTGACCCACTCAAGCTGGACTAGATACCCCTTCTAGGGCCTTAGCCCGATTACAGCACTTGCATATTGCACAATCATTGTGAACTTCTCACACCAGACTGTAAGATCAAGGGCAAGATGGATCTGTAGATCCTCAGTGTCTAGCACAAAAGGTGCACAACAAAGGCCTAATAACATCATGGGTTTATAATACTACTAGAAGGCCCCACTGATGAGTGCCAGGGGCTGGGCAGCTTCAACACGACCTCTGATGCACTCCAGTGTGTCAGGGAGGCATCGCTATCTCCATTGCAGATGGGCAACAACTGGGACTCAAATGCCAAGGAATGGGTCCACGGCCACACAGCAAGCAGCTGCTGGGGTTGAAACCAGAAGCCAGCATCAGGTGACTCCAGAGTGATCTGACTCAGTTGGCTATGATGGAAACGAGTGGGGACCCTGGCCAGCTGGGGGCATGGGCAGTGTCAGGGAGCACAGACCTTGAGGCAGCACTGGAACTCCTCCTGGGCATCGCTGAACACCTCGACATCCAGGAAGAGCCGGAGTCGGTGGTCCACAGAGCGGAGGCCGCAGCGCTCAGGGGCTGAGGGCAATGAGGGGACATCAGCCTGCCCGTGGCAGCCCCTGGGCTCCATCTCCACCTCCCCATCAGTGTCCCTTCCCTTCCCCAAACCCATCTATGTCTTGTTTTGCCTATACTCACGGGGACTGAGGCTCCAACTACTGTGGTCACGGGTGCTCAGTGCCTGAGGTGGGCTGTTCTTGGCCCTGTCATGGTGGTCACCATGGCCAGGAGGGTGGCAGACAGGGCTGGCAGACGGAGAGGGAGCCAGAGACTGCTCTCCCTGTTTCTGCTCCCTGTTGGGGGTTCCCCCGGACACAAGCAGGAGAACCACGTGGTCACTACCACAATTAGGACACACAGCAGGAGATTCTGGAGGGAAGATGGACACGGTCCCCGTGAGCCTCCCCCACAAAGTGCCACAACTCCCACCATGCTCTTGATGTTCCTTTCCCACTCTCAGGTCTTCCCTGAGCCCAAGTCTCCAGCTTCATACACAACCACCGCGCCCCAGCCCACCAGCTCCCTCTCTCCCAGTACAGCTGCCGACTGATCACTCCCCAACCCAGGGAGGGATGAGCTAACCCTGGCCCACAACCTCCTCAAAGTGCACTCTACCTTCTAACTCTAGGCCCTCTCTGACTGGGTCAAACACAACCAGGCCCTGCTCTTACGCCCTCCTACAGACTTGGGCTGATCAAGTTACTTCAGGGCTCTCCTAGCAACGTCTGAAAGACCAAAATCAACAGGTCTCGAAAGACAGAGAGAACTCTCTTGCCATATTTGGGTCCAATTCTAGGCTCCATCAATTAATGGCTCTGTAATCATGGGCAAGTCATCTAAGCTCTGTGAACCTGGTTCCTCATCTATAAATTAGGGATGACAATAGAGTCTATCTTATACTCATCCTTAGTGTCAGGAAGCCGGGAAGGAATCAGGACACGGATCAGCAATGAGAGACGCAGCACTCTGAGCAGCTGCACTGTGCTGGGCGTGTGCTAGCTCCCATGCCAGTATGATCACATTTCATTACCAGAGAAACTCTCCCTATCCCATTTTGCAACGAGTAAAGAAAAGATTAAATCCTTTACACACGCTGCCCAGGACCACATAGCTTGGGGCAACGGCAGCAGCTACCATTTACAGGGGACCTTTGTGTTCTGCCAGGCCCTCTGCTTGGTGCCTTACTGTCACATTTAAATAGCATTAACAGCACCATGGGGTGAGTTCATTCCCTTCTTTGTTCAGAGGAGGTAACTGAGGTGCAAATGAAAGAACGGTTGGCCAAGAACGGTTGGCCAGGCATGGTGGCACATGCCTGTAATCCCAGCACTTTGGGAGGCGGGCGGATCACGAGGTCTGGAGATTGAGACCATCCTGGCTAACACCGTGAAACTCCGTCTCTACTAAAAATGCAAAAAATTAGCTGGGCGTGGTGGCGGGCGCCTGTAGTCCAGCTACTAGGGAGGCTGAGGCAGGAGAATGGCGTGATCCCTGGAGGCGGAGCTTGCAGTGAACCGCAGTCGCGCCACTGCACTCCAGCCTGGGTGACAGAGGGAGGCTCCGTCTCAAAAAAAAAAAAGAAAGGAGAACAGAGCCCACAGTAGTGTTCATTAATAACGCCATCATGAAAGAGGCTCCAGAGTCCACAGCGACTCATGGTGTAGAGCCAGGGTCCAGGAGGGGCTGGCGGCTGTTTTTGTTTGCACTGTGTCGCTAAGGCTGCATGCCCAGGCTAGTTCACAGTGGGGAACAGAGCAGGGCTCCATTTTCTGAATAAAATGTAAACCCCTGCTCCAGCTGCTGCCAAGAAGAGAAAACTGGCTAATAAAATTCTGGCATTTCCACATAGCTGTTATCAAGAATATTTATTTCTTCTTCAATGTCTTCTTCAAAGATAGTACTTTCTGACTGGTCTACAATGGAAACAATTCTTGTTTTAAGGATTAGCGCATGAAGAAATGCCACAGGACATTATGTAGCTTCCAAGGTCAGCCGGGAAGGACAAACCAAGCCAACTCCCCGAGCATGTCACTCAACAGCTACACTTGCTGGCAGGTGCAGCACCACCATCCAATACTGCGTGAGGGCTCGTCAGGTTTTATGTAGTGTCTGAAATATCAGCCAAAAAAAAACCCAACACAAACAAGGTTTCAAGTTATGAAAAAATAATGAGTTCAAGCACAGTTACAGAGATTGCACTTCCTGACTTTTAGAGTTAAAAGAAAAAAAACAAACCAAAAAAAGCAGGATATAGTTTCTTCTTTTTTTCTGTTTTCTTTTTTGTAAATGCAGCAGGCAGGCGGTTTTCTTTTTCCTCCAGGCAGAACAACTGGTCTCCACTCTAGCCCCTTCTCCCTGGGGCTCCCCCTTCACACTCCCCTACACAGAGCCACTTTCCCTGCAACAGGGGAGGCGTGTGGGCAGAGAGGTCAAGGGCAGGCCTTATACCTGTCTTTTGGAACAGAGGCCTCCAGCCTTCCTCACTGTCCAATCCCAGCCTGGGCCCCTCTGGCTTGAACTCATGGCCACAGCGCAGACACTGGAATCTACCCAGCAGGAGGTCCCTGGCCTCCCCAAGCTGTTCCCGAGCCACATTGGTGACTGGGGTCAACACGGCAAGCAGCTCCTGACAGAGGGTGGATCAGAGGCAGCTGTGAGCAGGCGGATCCCAGAGGGACACCTCCCACAGGCCCCTGGCCCTCAGGCCTGCTGCCGCTCCCCTCTGGCTCTCTTAATCCCCACAGCCTCCTGGGCCCCTACTCTAGGCCCCATCACCTGGACAGCTGCATGGGCATCAGGCTCCAGCACCAAATAGCGACGCAACTGCCGGTCAGGACAGATGTAGGAGAAGCGCAGACTGAGGACGGGGGCTCCAGGGAGCAGATCTGAGCCCTGTGCAGAAGAGGGGGACCGGGTGAAAATCAGCAGGAGCGGTGATCAGAGGGATGAGGGATGCTGAGAGCGTGGAGGACGGCAGGGGCTCTGGAGCCTGTTAAAGGCCTGTGCTGACGTCCAAGCTCGAGCACGGAATCCCTGCTCCTCAGCCCAGCCTCCCGAGCGCTTGCAACCTCTGAGGCTCCCCTCCTCGACTCCTAGTGCCAAGGAGAGACTGTGGGAAATGCCCAGCCCAGTGCAGGGCACACAACAGCCATGTGCCCATAGCTGGCTCCTTCAGTGCCCTGCCGCCCCCAACTCACCGTGGGCCCAGGTGACCTCTGGGCCTGGGCCTCCGGCTCTATCTCAGCAGCCTCCAGACTCTGGAGCTCCAGTCGCTCCAGGGTGCGAGCTGCTTGGAGTTCCACCTCAAACAGGTGGGCAGAAGTGACCCTGAGAAAGCATTCCCTGCCCCGCACGCCCTCAGGCCCCTCCAGGGGACACACCAACATGGGGCGACAGAGCTCCGCTGTGGAGAGACCGAGAGAAGCCCTGCAGGGAGGGAAAGTACCCACACGCCGCCCTCCCCCGCACTGGCCCTCCACCCACCAGGCCCCACCACTCACAAACATCCCAACGGCCGCTGGCCCCAGCTCGCCCCAGCCCACAGAGGGCTCACCTTCCACTTCCTTCTGGTCCTGCTCCTCTTCTTCCTCCTCTCCTGCCTCCTCTTCTCCCTGTTCCACCATCTCCCCCTCCTTCTCCTCCTCCCTTTCTTTCTCCTCCTCCTCCTCCTCCTGTGGCTCCGCCCTGACCTCCTCTGACATTTTTTGTGGTGACTCCCGGGGGCCTCTGGCTTCCTCCTGCAGGGGTGGAGGTCTGGGTGTAGTGTCAGGGCCCTGGGAGCTGGCTGGAGGTGTGCTGGGGGCAGGAGAGGTGGGGGTGGCCGGCAGAGGGTTTCCAGAGGCCTCCAGGTGACTCCTGTACTGCAGCCAGTTGCGGCCAAACCGTTCCCGGAAGCTGCTCATGAGCTCCAGCTCCCGGTGCTGCTGCACGAACCATCCTGGGCAGGAGGGGAACCCAGAGCTGAGCAAGCCCACCCCACACAGATGGCCCCAAATCCTTCAATGGTGCTCCTCAGCGATGAGGGGGCAATGGACTGTGTATGGGGACAGGGGCAGGGGAGGCTACAGGTGTCCCCTCCGCGACATGTACTGAAGTGTGTCCTATGGAACACTGTGGTCAAGTGCAATCCAAGCTGCGCATCCTATGCTGCTTCTGGAGACTCAGCATGCGTGACAGCATCCTAAAGGTCCTGAGACGGCCCACAGCGAACACGCGTGACAGCATCCTAAAGGTCCTGAGACGGCCCACAGCGAACACATCTATTTCTTTTCAACCTCACATTTCCCAAACTTCTCTGGCCACAATCCTATTATTTTATATATATATACACATATATACTTTCTTTTGGTTTTGGGTTTTAGTTTTTTTAAGAGATGGGGTCTTACTCGGTCACCAGGTTACAGTGCAGTGGCACAATCACAGCTCACTGAAACCTTGAACTATCAGGCTCTAGCGATCCTCCTGCCTCAGCTTCCCAAGCAGATAGGACTACAGGTGCACACCACCATGTCAGGCTAATTTAAAAATTTTTTTGGAGACATGGGCATCTCTCTATGTTGCCCAAGCTGGTCTCAAACTCCTGGGCTCAGGCAATCCTCCCACCTCGGCCTCCCAAAGTGCTGGGATTACAGATGTAAGCCACTGCACCTGGCCTACATGATCTCTTGACACCCCACAAAATTAATGTTCCTCAAAAAGTTTTCAAAATGCTCCCAGAAGCAGTCTTCTCCTTTCTCTAAACTAAAAGAAAAGAAGAAAGACTAAGAAGCCCTCTATAATACTCTACCAACAAAAAATAACATTTCTTCCAGCAGACCTTCGCCGTAACTTAAAAATCAGAGTGAGCTGGACGTGGACGAGAGAGTTAGTGGGGTGACGCTGACTTACCAGCTGGAGAGGGGTTCAGAGTTCGGGGCTCCGGGTCCGTATCACTGGGTTCAGAGATGCTTGCCCGCCTTACACGGACTCGGCTCTGAGGTTAGTGGAGGGAAGAAGTTCTGTGAAAGCCAAGCCTCCAGCCCTGCCATCCACGGCTGGCCATCCAACCTATCAGAGAAACCCCGACCACGTGCAAGCACAGTTCCTACTACTCCCTGCCCACTGCAGCCCAGAGTCCCCAGAGAGACACCCCACCCCAGGCATGAGGCAGCGGAGGACACTGCTTACCTTAACCTTATGAAGTGGGGCCTGGGCCAAAACACCCCCCGAGGAGAGGCTGTCACTCAGGTCAGGGCCACCTGAGGTTTCAGGAGTACTCCCCACTGGCCAGGGCAAAGGTGGGCCTGTGGGGCTGAGCCTCAAGGATATGTGAGTCTGGTATTTGACAACAGGAAGGAGAGAAAGGATGGAGACGGGGAGCACCTCTGCCTTGCCCAAGCCAGCCAAAAGGCAGGACCCTACTTTCCACTGACCAGGAAGACCCTGTCACCAGCCAGCCCTGTGTTCTCTCCCCAGGGCCCTCCCTTCATGTCTTCCCCAACAGTCCTCGCCCCCTGACCACACCGACCTGAGAATCTGTCAGCGACAAGACCTTGCCATCGAGAAGGAACTGAGCAAAGACAAAAAGGGTGGGGAAGGGAGTATGTGGTGGGGTCCATCCTGCTGAGTTCCAGGTATTGACAACACAGTAAGCAGGGTCCAGGTCCTCGGCCCCTCACCCAGGGATGGCAAGACGGTGCAAGGTAGGGGAGGACTGGGCAGGAAAGAGGAAGCACAGTGGACATAGGACGATCACTCACGCCAGTAGCAGCCTCCCTGGCCCGAGGTGACAAGTACTGGGCAGTGGCCACTCGGTGCGCAGGGTGGAACCAAAGAGGGTTCCCCTCCAGGTAGAGCTGAGGGGCAGGAAGGGGAGAATGAGGAGGGCCTGGGGCCCTGGCCCTCCCTGTGTGAAGAAGGCACTGACCAAACCAGCATGGGGGGCTGGCTACAAGGGTGGCTCTCAGGCTCCTGATGCACTGCTATCTCACCTTGCGGAGCTCAGTCAGCAGCCACAGTGGCGACAGCTCCCTATGTCCTTCTAGTAGGTTGTATGCCAAATCCAAGTGCTGCAGATTCCTCAGCTGCTCCAGGCCTGGGATGGGGGCAAGAAGGAAGGAAGGGCACGCGGATGAGTACACGCAGGTGAGTGTGGTACATGCACTCGGGGAAGGTGCACAGAAAGACCAGCCGGAGCACCCCTGCACTCCACATAAGCCCTCTCAAGGCTCTAGAGGCACGTGGTACCCAGGCCAGCCCGAACCTCACTCTCCCTCTTCCCCTCCGTGCTTGCCCCATCACACACCCCCACTCACCATGCAGGCTCCGAAGTTCATTGCCTCGCAGTATCAGGATCCCTAGAGAAGCTCCTGAGGGTCCCATTCTTGGGACCAAATGCAGGCGATTATAGGAGATGTCCAGATGGTAGAGTTCACACAAATCCTGGCAGGGGTACAGGGGTGAAAAAGATTCTCTTGTTGACCAAACTCTAGTCAGGGTCCTCTGAGATCTCTTCTAGACTAGGCCTCAACCTCGGCCTATATAAAACTGCACATGCTCAGCACAAATGATTTCATCCACCCCTACTCCCACGTTAAAAGACTTGAACAACACCAGCACTGTTCCTAACAGTTCAAGGTCACATCTTGAGCATGGCGACTCCAACCCCCTTAAGTTCCTGCCTGGGAAAAGTCAAAGCTGCCAAAAGAATTTCCCATTTGTTTCAGCCAGCTCCTAAAGATAGGGCCCCATCTCCCAGTCTCTGCAAAAGGGTAAGGGCCTTATTTTGATAAGTGCCAGTTAGTTAGCAAACCCAACCTGATTTCCACTTTCACGTGGACCAACCTGATTTCCACTTTCCCAGCTCTGCTCAAGGCCCTACCATTCCCCTGCCCACTCCCCCACCTTTTAAAATGCCCAATCGGCCAGGCGCAGTGGCTCACGTGGGTAATCCCAGCACTCTGGGAGGCCAAAGAGGGCGGATCACTTGAGGCCAGAAGTTCGAGACTAGCCTGGCCAACATGGTGAAACCCCATCTCTACTAAAAATACAAAAATTAGCTGGGCATGGTGGCACACACTTGTAATCCCAGCTACTTGGGAGGCTGAGGCACGAGAATCACTTGAACCTGCAGGCACCACTGCACTTCAGCCTGGGTGACAGAGCAAGACTCCATCTCGAAAAAATACATAAAATAAAATAAAATAAAATAACATAACATAACATAACATAACATAAAATAAAATAAAATAAAATACCCAGTGACCCCTGCACAAAAATAGACTACACTCGACCCTCTTCACTACTGCAATTGTTTATTACTGATTAAAATCTAGTGTCCAGCATTATCCATGACAGCCACCTAGTGTCATGACTTGAATTGGGTCAGATTCATCGTCAGACACCCCCAGCCCTCTCACTTGGGGCCCCAAGCTGCACACTTTCGATGCCTTTGCCTTCGCTCCTGACTGATCAATGGGGATTCATCAGTGAGTCTGACTCCCAGCCCAGTGCCTGTGACAAACATCCACTGAAGCACAATGAGGAAGCTTTTGACTCTCATGATTCCAAGTACACTCACGAAGCTTGGTTAGAGTCCCAAGCTTCGTGTGAAAGGCACCTCCTAGGCTGGAAGTTCTTCCTCACTCTGTTTCAAGCAAGAATTCGCTCCCTGACTCCTGGGCTAAAAGTACTTCATGGCCGTGTTTTGAGTCCTCTGTTTTCCCTCCTTGATCCTGCTCCTCCCATGGACTTCACAGTCAACTGAAACCCTCTTCTCAAACCACTGCTGACTACACAGTATATGTCACCACTACAGCACTAACTCTGTCCATTTCCTTTCCTGTTCGCAACACTCTACTAAGGATAATCTGGAACTTCAACGGCTTATTTGGGAAACTTAAGATCTCCCCAGTCTGGCTCCTCTAAGAGCCCCTATTCACATCACCTCTGCTCCCCTTTCCTCCTTCTCCCACCTTTCCTCTTTCCTTCAGCTCCTGAAGGAACCCCTGACAGGTTCCCCTTCAAGTCCCCTCCTTCTTCACCCCTACTCACCCTGCTAGACCTTTCCCTTCATATTCCAGACCCTCAACTCCCTACAGTCACTCAAAATTTAGGTCCTCTGCCCCTACTGGGGGTCTCAAGGGACTCAGAGACCTTCAAAAGCAACCAACTGAGGGTTTAAAAAAAAAAAAAAAACTCATGGAAACAGACCATTTAATTCTTGTCATCCACAGAGTTACTGTTTTACCCTGCTTCCTAAAAGTTCTTACAATCGGCTACAGCCCAGAGTACTCACCTTCAACAAAAAGAGACTGCTGCAGAGACCCATAGAAAAGGACTATGCTAGGTCCTCCAGGGCAAAGGCTTTTGGTAGTATTGCTTAAACAACTTTGATATCATACCACTAGACCAAGTCAGAATTTCCAAAACTCTAATGAAAAAGCTGATGGATTCATAACACTGCTAACCCAAGATCAAGCACGATAAGAACTGACTACATAAAACTGAATGAACTGGTGAAGAATGAATATAGTTTTAATGGCTTTGTTTAAAATACTGTTGGTTCTTGAATGTCCTATTTTCCAGATATAAGGAACCTCTTTCCCTTTTCTTTTATGTGATCTATCACATGAAACAGTTTAGTAAATTATACTTTTATAAAAAATATATATGAAGCATTTATCTTTTCTCCATGCCTGATCCCTCCAGAATTCAGGAACTCCCATTGGGCATTCTTATTTACGTGGCAATATGGTTATTTTCACAGGTTCAGTAGGGTCAGCCCTCCTTGTAACAGGACATAATGGGGAAAATTGGTTATATAACGAGGTTTTGACTGGACTTTTAAAATATAACTGGAATGTCATGTTTTAAAATAATGCATAAAATCAGATATGGCCAGACAGTTTTAAGGAACGAAAGCTCTACGGAGCCAATGCTTACAAAGCCCTCTTGGAAAAACCAGCCTGCCACTTGGCTTACAGGGTTCCCAGACTTACAAATTAGTGGCAAACGCTAGATCCTGGCAGGCCCAGGAATCTCAGGATATTTTGGAGATGTTAAGAAGAGAAGAATTCACAAATCTATAGGTACTCCACGTGAAGTCTGATGGCATGTTCTTGGCTTCCTAACCTCGAGAGGGTTTAAAAGTCCAGTCTGAGAGTCCTTATAAAAAGTTCCAGGAAAGCAAACTTAAAAAGGGCCTCTGTGGTCAATTACCATTCTTACTACACTTATGTAAATAAGCAGACCAAATCTAACAGGATCAGACTTATTCTGTAAAAAAGAATAATCCTACTTTCACTGTTTTTAATCAAAAGGGGAGTGACCTTAGAGAAATCTGTTTTAATGAAAAAACTATTAACACATCCTTATGGGTTACCAGATTCTAGTCCTGTTCATTTTCTTTGAAGTTGTATCATCTACCTGTCAACTGGAATGGGTCCTGCTATCCTACACGTCAGCCCTTACCAAAGTCTCAATTCTTCTCGTTTTCTTCATTATTTGGCTGCAATTTTCTAAACTAACATTTCCAATTTTCTTCCTCCCAACTTGGCATCACTGAGAACTAAAACCTGAGTGCCCAGATCCTTAGTGGAATTTTAGGTGACTTACAGCTGCCCTTTCCCCCAAGGATCTTTTTTTTTTTTTTTCTTGAGACGTAGTTTCACTCCTGTTGCCCAGGCTGGAGTGCAATGGTGTGACCTCTGCTCACTGCAACCTCTGCTCCCCGGGCTCAAGCGATTCTCCTGCCTCAGCCTTTCCGAGTAGCTGGGATTACAGGCATGCACCACCATACCCGGCCAATTTTGCATTTTTGTAGAGATGGGGTTTCTCCATGTTGGCATCAGGCTGGTCTCGAACCCCCGACCTCAGACGATCCACCCACCTTGGCCTCCCAAAGAGCTGGGATTACAGGCATAAGCCACTGCGCCAGGCCTCCCCTCAGGATCTTAACAAAAGCCCTATGAGCTAAAGTTGGACTAGGTGATATAAACTTCAAAAGATACATCATCTACAGATCACGTGTGGATAACCTACATGCCTGGAGCTACTGTGATATGAGCCCCTTAGAAAGTCCACCGAGGCCAGGCACAGTGGCTCACGCCTGTAATCCCAACACTTTGGAAGGCCGAGGCAGGCAGATTACCTGAGGTCAGGAATTCGAGACCAGCCTGACCAACATGGAGAAACCCCATCTTTACTTGTAACCCCATCTTTCACTTTTATTTGTAAAAATACAAAATTAGCTGGGTGTGCTGGTGGGCCCTACTCGGGAGGCTAAGGCAGGAGAATGGCTTGAACCCAGGAGGCGGAGGTGACGGGGAGCTGAGATCGCGCCATTGCACTCCAGCCTGGGCAACAAGAGCCAAACACCATCTCATAAAAAAAAAAAAAAAAAAAAAAGAAAAGAAAAAAGAAAGTCCACTGACACTCCTGTATCTTCAAGACTCTGTTCAGGGAAATAAGCACGACTGCAACACTGTCTATGCCGTCACCACAAACATTCAAACTACAAACCAAGAAAGCCATCGGTTGCCACCGCTATCCTCATTCCACCAGCTAAAGAAACATAGAGCTCAACACCTAGAAATCTCAACTGGCTGCCCTCTGGACTCAGAAAATGGATTTACAGTCTCATTCAACCATTCATCTTTGTTTTCCTTTTTGTTTCCATAGAAATGTCCACCATTAAATGCCCGGTCACGCGCACCATCCAGCAAAACTCATCCCCTACCAAGTCCCAACGAATGGCTCAGTGGTTTTTAGTGAACAAAAGGAAGTGATCAAGGAAGAAAAGGATTTATATTGTTCGGGGGAAGACAGAGTGTCTCTTCTTTCCTCGAATTAGAGGAGGGACTGACAAAGATTCTCACCTTGATCAAACCCTGCTTGGGCTCCTCTGGGCCTTCTTTTTGACTAGGCCTCAACTTCGGCCTGTTAAGAACTGCAGACTTGTTTAGCACAAGTTCAACAAAATTCAACACAAATGATTTTTTTGACTCCTCCAACCCCCACAGTAAAAAACTTTAACAAAAACAGCAAAGTTCCAGCATAAGGATGCATCCCTAGAATGGCGACTCTAGCCCCCTTAAGTTCCTGCCTGGGAAAAGTCAAGGCTGCCAAAAGAATTTCCCACTTGTTCCAGCCAACACCTGATGACAGGTCTCCCGTCTCCCAGTCTTTGTGGGAAGGTAGAAGCCTAACTTTTAGCAAACCCAGAAGGGCTTCATGTGGTCCAACCTCCACTTCTGCTTTTTGTACATTTCCACTTCCCTTACTCTGCTCAAACCCTCATAGTTCCCCTTCCTATTCCCTCGCTCTCCTTTTAAAATGCCCAGTCACCTCCGCACAAATTAAAGTGGCATTCAGTTCACATTGCACCATCCTCCCCGCTGCAATAGTTTATCACTGATAAAAATCTGTCCTTACCACTCGGCTTTATCTCTGACAGGTGGATGGGAGGACCCAGAAGAAACATTCTTCGTCATGATCACAAAAGCTGTCAGTTTCTGAGCTAGTCACTAGACTAAGTAACATTGGGTACTTCTTCACAATCATTTTAATACTATAAAAGCAGGTATTTGGCCAGGCGTGGTGGCTCACGCCTGTAATCCCAGCACTTTGGGAGGCCGAGGTGGGTGAATCACTTGAGGTCAGCAGTTCAAGACCAGCCTGACCAACATGGTAAAACCCTGTCTCTACTAAAAATATAAAAATTAGCCAGGTGTGGCGGCACGTGCCTGTAGTCCCAGCTACTTGGGAGGCTGAGGCAGGAGAATTGCTTGAACCTAGGGGCAGAGGTTGCAGTGAGCTGAGATTGCACCATTGCACTCCAACCTGGGTGACAGAGCAAGACTCTGTCTCAAAAAAAAAAAAAAAGAGCAGGTACTCTTGTGATTTCTATTTTACAGGTAAAGAAACCAAGAGGTAACTAACTTGCTCCAAGTTGTACAGGTATTAGAAGTTGAGATTTGAACTCTGGTTTGTCTGATGCTAGTGCCTGAGCAGTGCTATCTCCCAGAATGCAGCTCCACCCTCATGGCAAGAGCAAGGTGGGAGTAAAAGCCGGTCAAGGAGAGAGAGTAAGAACAGAGCAATCAAAGACCCATGGTGTGCCAGCTGCCAGACTGCCCATACTCACCATCAGGAATCCCTGGCAGTCCTGGACTTGATTGTGGCTTAGGTTCAAGAAACGCAGAGCTGACAAGAGGCGCTGAGAGAGATGGGAAAGAGGCAGAGAATCGATGTTCACTACAATACTATCTGGTCAACCAGCTGGCCCTCCTCCCCAAAGGCCTGGCCTTGCCCTTCCTCGAAACCCTCTCGAGGCACTCACCAGGGAGCTGTCTAAGGCGGTCAGTGCATTGTAGCTGAAGTTGGCAGAAAGCAGAGCCAGCCAAGGGAGGGCAGAGCAGAAGTCACCGCCGCAGGCTGAGAGGAGCTCCTGAGTGGGCGGATGGGTGCTTCATTACCCCACTCTCCCCCTCCTCCCCATGCCAAGGCCAAGCTCTACCACCCAGTCACTCATTCATTTTTTATACACTGAACTCCATCTGAAGATACAGGCTTAAAGCCCAGGTCCCTGACCCAAGAACTCACTGTGGGGAGAGTGGGAAGGTAGACACTAGAATATGTAATGTAATACGGTAGGTACGACTATAAATATACAGGCAGGTACTGAGTGCTGCGGGAACACAGAGAGGGAGTGAGGACACTGTCTAGCGGGAAGCAGGAGGCAGGGAGAGCTGCAGAGAGGGAAGAGTATCAGAGCTCGGTCCTCTACGTCTCTCAGGATGAGGCGTCTGAGCTCACCCCTCACCCTCCTTACCTCTAATGTCTGGAGGCTCCTGCTGCAAATCAGGGTCTCCAGCTGGGAGTAGATGCCTCGGAGGCCATGCAGAGAGTGAAGGGGAACACCTCGGAGCTGGGACAAGGAAAGGGGAGGGAGGAAGGCAGAACCCCACAGAAGACAAAGACCTCATCCCCATATCTCCTAGTTGGGAGGAGGGAGAAGACGACAAAGCCCAGCTATGGTTTAGGGAAGCAGTAAATGGAAAGACAGTGGATATCACATTACTGCAGAGCAATGGGTATACTCAGGCCTGGCCTCCTCACCAAAGAGGCCCTTCTCTTTCCTATCCCCAGGGGCGGCCTCAAGTTGGGTGCTGTGCACCCACATCCCCCCGTGTCCCCATACCTCCAGGTGCCGAAGGGATTTGAAGGGGAAAATCTTGATGGGCCCTGGGGGGCCAGGACCAGGAACATGGACCAGCTGAAGAAAAAAAATAAATAAATAACTCCATTTACTGAGGCACAGCAGATCTCCCTGTCCTCAACATTCCTTTCTTAGCACAACCACTGGTACCTCTGACACCCTCTGGATCCTGGCAGTGCAGACTTCTGCACCCCTACCCTACCCCCAACTTCCATCATTCTCTTGGGCTGTTTGCACATCCTGCCCCTTCCCCACACCCAGAACCTTGAGTGAAAGCGTTTTCTGCAGCACATCGAAGAGAAACTGAAGCTGAAGGATGACAGGGGAGTCCGCAGGATGGGAGGGCAGAGCCACAAAGCCTGTCTGGCCAGGGCCCCACGGCCCCAGGTGCAGCTCAAATACATGGTTCAGCTGTTGCAGTGTGGGAGTGAGCAGGCTCAGGGTGCTACAGCCAGACAGGACCACATCCCCTGCAGAAAGAAGGGCAGACAGGAGGGAAGACACAGTGAAAAGATTTTTCCCTTTATTCTAAGACTCTGCTATGCCAAAATATACCCACTCCAATCCATATTGTAGATGTTCTATTGCAGGATCAAATTTTCTATCTCCTTCACAGCTCAAAAGCATTCAATGGCTCCCCCATCTTCAAAAAAAAAAAAAGAGTCCTACCATTTCATTCAGCCTAATGAGACTGCTTGGCTACACAACTCCAACCAACTCTTCCAAATTTTCTTTCACCTTCTGCTCAAAAGAGCCTCATCTACTGACAGTGCTGGAAATACAGCCAACTTGGTTCACAGTTCTCTCATGTTCTGAAACACCCCCTTCCACCACCCAGCTAGAGACCAGCCTCCTCCAGGAAGCCGCCTCAAGAAGTAATACTGCTGAATTTTCACATCGCAGTCACTTATTATTACATAAAAGTTAATTGGATGTCTTATCTTTATTTCATTTTCTGATTGCAAAGCACTTCTGTAGAAACTTTCAAGCAATACTAAAAAGTATGCCATAGAAAGAATAACTATTCGTTACAGCACTAAGGCATTGTTACTGCTGTCTGTTAAAAATGCTCTCTCTAATGAGACTTTCATCCTTGAGGGCATCTTTTGATCACCCTAGTATTCATCACTGCACCTAAAAAAGTGCAGCTACAAGCTAGGCATGAAGGAATTTTTTTTGGCTTAAAAATATAGTAAGTATAGATAGAGTCAAAGGATGTTGCAGAAACAGTACAGAAAGGTCCCCTATATCCTTTACCCAGTTTTCCCTAACGGTTACATTTTATATAGCTATAGTACAATATCACAGTCAGGACACTGAGCTGGGCGCCGTGGCCCAGGCCTATAATCCCAGGACTTTGGGAGGCCAAGGCAGGTTAATCACTTGAGGTCAGGAGTTCAGGACCAACCTGGCCAACATGGTGAAACCCCATCTCCACTAAAAATACAAAAAATTATTCTAGGACTCTAACCTCGTCTCTACTAAAAATACAAATATTCTAAGCTGGGCATGGTGACACACACCTGTAATCCCAGCTACTCGAGGGGCTGAGGCAGGAGAACAGCTGGAAGCCAGGAGGCAGAGGTTGCACTGAGCCGAGATTGAGCCATTGCACTCCAGCCTGGGTGACAGAGCTAAACTCCATCTCAAAAAAAAAAAACAAAAAACAAAAAAAAGGGCAGGCACAGTGGCTCACGCCTGTAATCCCAGCACTTTGGGAGGCCAAAGCAGGTGGATCATGAGGTCCGGAGTTCAAGACCAGCCTGGCCAATATGCTGAAACCCCGTTTCTCCTAAAAATACAAACATTAGCAGGGCATGGTGGCACACGCCTGTAGTCCCAGCTACTCGTGAGGCTGAGGCAGAAGAATCACTTGAACCTGAGAGGTGGGGGTTGCAGTGAGCTGAGATCACACCACTGCACTCCAGCCTGGGTGACAGAGCAAGACTCGGTCTCAAAAGAAAAAAAAAAAAATCAGGACACTGATGTTGGTACAATATGTATATATAGCTATATGCTGTTTATATAAATTCCTGCAGCCACGCAATCAAGATATGAAACTATTCTGCTGCCACAAAGCTCTTCTCCTGCTACCTCCTTGTAGTCACACATTCACACACCCACCATTCATCGCTGAATAAATTAACAAGTCCTACAACCTGACATGAAGGATTCTGTATGTACTAGACACTGAGGATGGATACAGACATGGTTCAAGGACTCTTCCCATGCTCAAAGGGCCTCCTAGTTGTCTCCTCCCAGAGAAGGATATAAGACATTTGCAAAGTTATCAATACAAACCAGGAAATAAAACTGCTACTGGCCAGGTGCCGTGCCTCACGACTTTAATCCTAGCACTTTGGGAGGCCAAGGCAGGTTAATCACTTGAGGTCAGGAGTTCAAGACCAACCTGGCCAACATGGTGAAACCCCGTCTCTACTAAAAAATACAAAAATTAGCCGGTCATGGTGGTGCACACCTGTAGTCCCAGCTACTCAGGCGGCTGAGGCAGGAGAATCACTTGATCCCGGGAGGTGGAGGTTGCAGTGAGCTGAGATTGCGCCACTGCACTCCAGCCTAGGTGATACAGTAAGACTCTGTCTCGAAAAGAAGAAAAGAAAGAAAAGAAAACTGCTAGAAAGAGAGTTTCCACAGATATCATCAATGGGAGCATGGAGTGATGGAGGACAGCTAACATTAACTGTAGTATGTGCCAGATGACTTTGATATCTCATTCAAACTTTCTCAGAATCTCCCAAAGAGCACTGTTAACCCCATCTTACAGATATGAAAATTGAGGTTCAAAAAAGTGAAAAATCTTGATTGAGATCATATAATTGGCAGGAAGTTACTTCTCCTATTTGATCTCAAAGCTAAGGCTTTTTCTACCACAATTAATGCCAACCAAGTACTCAACAACTACTGTGGCTCCACTGTGCCCAGGCACAGTGCCAAGCACCAGGGAAGTCATTACAATAACAATAGCTCCCAACTGTAAGCAGTTATTATACTTGCAGGCATTGTACTAAATACATGAATTACAACGAATCCCCACAACTGTTAAGTACAATCATTATGGCAATGTGTGAGGAAAACTGAGCCTCAGGAAACAGTTTGGCAAGTTTGAAAGAGGGTTGATATTCCAACCCAGGTGGGTCCGACTCCAAATCTCGTGCTTCCATCTACTGTACTTAGTACCTTGCTACACGACAATGATTATGATCGAGATCAGTCCCTGGTCCTGAGGGGCTTTTAGTCAGGTAACGATCACTTCCTTCTGACAGTGTCAGAGAAGGCACGGAGGGAGGGATACCGGAGTTTGGCCTCAAAGGACGGCTAGGGTTTGGGCTATCACAGGCAAAGGCTCCCTGTAAGGGCGAACAAATCTGGGAATAGTAAAGAAATTGAACTCTGACACCTGGTGACCCTATCAGTCGTAACTCCGTGACTCTCAGGGCATGTCTCCAGAAGGCACCACCCCCACCTCGTCCGAGGCCCAGCTAAACCGGAAGTCCACTCACCGGACTCCCGCAGCAGCCCCGCGAGCTTCCACACCAGGGAGTCCCGCTGAGCGGTCGTCATGGCCACGGGACGCTAGGGGGCGGAGCCTGGAGAAAAGAGGAAGCGGAAGAGCCTCAGGTGGGCGGTAGTGCCAAAAGCCCAGGGCGTCCACGCAAACCGAGGCGTCGTGCAGAGAAAAAGGCGAGAAAGAAGAGCGAGGAAGAGCATCTTCCTGGCCGCCCTTTGGAGGAACATAAGCCCTGGTCAGACATACCGACCCTCCCCGTTTGGTCCTCCTACCAGCTCAGCTGCGCGGCGCCTATCAATGATGGAAAGGAAGTCCCTCCCCGGAAGAAAATCGAGCCAAGGGACGACCGGAAAACACGCCTCTGCCGCCGGAAACCGCGCCCTAGGTCATGCAAACGAATCGAAAAGGGGCGGTGCGGAGGCTGGCTCGGGAGGGGCGGTCTCTCCGTGGTTGTGGGTGCGGTGGCGTCCTGGACTGCCTGTTCTGTATCTGGGCCCCCATTATTCCCCCGCCCTGCGCAGCGTGGGACTCTCGCTTGGATTTCGGCGAGCCTAGCGTGCCAGTGAGGAAACCCTGACTCGTTTGCAAACTGCGCGGGGAAGCCAAGTTTAGAGAAATGGAGTTTTCTGTTAGAGAAAAATTATTTCGAAGCAAACAGTCATTTTCCAGGGAAAGGAGAGCGTGTCCGCCGTAGGATGGACTTAGATCGTGTAAAAGCTGAGGCTACCAAGGATACCACCTCTGGGGTCCTTTGCTTCTTTTCCTTAGTCTCCCTCGAAACTCGTGTATCTTTCCTTCAGCAGTACTGGGCTCCACGCGAACCTAGTCCTTTGTCTTTACCCTATTACCTTTCATAACGTCCTAGTTGAAAAGTAGTTATTCAACCGCGTTTGAAAATGAGAAAACAGGTTCACAGAAGCTAGGTTACTTGCGAAGGTCGTTCAATTAGTAACCAGTAGCGCCAGGACTGCGAAAGTTTCCTGCTTCCGAATTCTCATGGTAGCTTTCACCAGGCTCCCCGTCAAATGCTATTGTCAACTACTGAACTAGATTAGCAAAAAGGTCTTTTAACAGAATTCCTGGTTTTCAGGGAAAGTTTCTTTCATGAAGTGCCCCGTTTCTACAGAGGAAAATCAAAATGAATCATAAGCCAGTTGAAAGGAGGAATAGGGTCATAGTCATCTTGATCCCAAGTTGCCAGATTTGAAAGATTTTATTTTCTAAAGACAAAATACTTGAAATGGCAAATATTTTGAATATTTGAACCACACAATTTTGCATTCATGGCATACTACTTGTGCTCTGAGCTGAAAGCCTTTTAGATTAAATAAAATAATTGCATTCATGGCATACTACTTGTGCTCTGAGCGGAAAGCCTTTTAGGTTAAATAAAGTAAGTGGAGATACATCCGAAGCAGTGTTGGAGCTCAGAAAAACAATACACCAAAATATGGCGCTTTGGCATGCTGACTATTTTGAACGAAAAGATACTGGAAGCCTCAGGCACAGTCTCCCTGACCTTCTCCTGCCCTCCTGTCTCCCAACCTTCTTTCTCCCCCAAGGCAAGCCATAGAAACCAGAATTCCTCTTCCCCAAGATGAGTCATAGAAACTAGAAGCCCTCTCCTGCAAAGCCAGCCGTAAAACCTGAACTTCCCCCACCTTTCTATGTAAGAGCTGGCTGTGGCCAGGCGTGGTGGCTGTAGTCCCAGCACTTTGGGAGGCCGAGGCTGGTGGATCACCTGAGGTCGGGAGTTGGAGACCAGCCCGACCAACAGGGAAAAACCCTGTCTCTTCTAAAAGTACAAAATTAGCCTGGCGTGGTGGTGCATGCCTGTAATCCCAGCTACTCAGGAGTCTGAGGCAGGAGAATCACTTGAACCCAGCAGACAGAGGTTGCCGTGAGCCAAGATCACGCCATTGCACTCCAGCCCGGACAATAAGAGGGAAACTCCATTAAAAAAAACAAAAAAAAATGCTGGCCATAAAGAACTTATCTGGCCTACCTTATCTGATAGTAGGCCCCTAAGACCCTCATTTTGGAAGAGATCCTGCCTTATACCTGGGAGGAAGGAATACTACACAGAAAGGCCTTGTTGGGTTTCCCCCTGCTGTCTGTTACTATTAAGTGGCACACTTTTTGCCCAACCACATTACTCCAGACTGTCCATTCTTCATAGAATCTAAGCATTAGAAACAGTTTTCCCTGGCTGTTTGGGTAGCCATTTCTGAAGGCTATGTCATGTAAAACTTTGATTAAATAAACTTCTTAGTTTATTTTAAGTTTTTCTCTTAACCTATCTTTTGTTATACGAGTGTCTGCTCTGACCCTTATGGTGAGGAAGAAAGGTATCACACCTTTTCAGCCCCTGCAACAGCTAACTAGTATGCAAATACAAAGTCAGAGTAAGAGCTCAGTATATTTTGTTGAAGTGTTAATCCCATAACCTGACGATTGTCAGTCCCTGTTTATTAATCATCTGGAACTTAGAAGGGCAGGTTCTCCCAAACGGTAACTGCCAACTCTGCCCCTCTTGGGCAAGAAACAGATACTTTTGAAGTCCCTGACATTGCAGTGTCTTGAAATCCGTTTCAGCCGTGCCTTTTCAACCCATAGTTATTTTCTGAGAATTGCTCCACCTATATGGGTAGCCCCTGTAGCCAGATTTGCTCTGTATCCCTTTGCTTCTCAGAAACGTGGAAGTGGGACAAAGGCAGAAGCAGAGAAAGCTGAACTACAGAGGAAGAGAAAAATAGATCTGCTAAGGGAAAGCAACAGGAGACTTAATAGTTCTTGTTTCCCTCCCCCTTGTGAGGCCCACTCTCCTTTCTACCCTTGGCCTGTAGGGGAGGCCTTGGCTGCCTTCCAGAGAATTCTCCCCCGCTTTTTCTGTTTTGTTTTTTTTTTAGGCCTAAGAATCTGAATGTATTTCTGTAAATTGCTACCATAAGAACCTCAACTAAGACAAAACGTTTACAAAACAAAGTCTAAAAGGGAAAAAAATTCCCATTCATCATAGCAGTCAAAAAATAAATTCTAGATATAAATACACATACCTGCTTATAATATTTTGAGAAATAAGCCAGATCTATGTGAAGAGAACAAGAGAACTTTAGGACATTAAAAATGACCCAGCCAGGCACAGTGGCTCACGCCCGAAATCCCAGCACTTTGGGAGGACAAGGAAGTGAGTGACTTGAGGTTAGGAGTTCGAGATCAGCCTGGCCAACATGGTAAAACCCTGTCTGTACTAAAAGTACAAAAATTAGCTGGGCATGGTGGCAGGCTCCTGTAATCCCAGCTACTCTGGAGGCTGAAGCAGGAGAATCACTTGAACCCGGGAGGCAGAGGTTGCAGTGAGCTGAGATGGCGCCATTGCACTCCAGCCTGGGCAACAAAAGCAAAACTCCTTCTCAAAAAAAAAAAATTTCTTTATTAAAAGGTATGCAGCCGGGCCATGGGTGGGCTCCCCGCCTGTAAATCCCAGCACTTGGGAGGCTGAGGCGGGTGATGCAACACGAGTTCAGGAGATCCGAGACCATCGCTGGCAACACACGATGAAACACCCTGCTCTACTTAAAAATTGCAAAAAATTAGCCAGCCCATCGTGGGTCGCCGCCTGGTCAGTGCCCCAGCATCGGGACGCGAGGCAGGAGAAGGGTGTGATCCCAGGAGCATCAAGCTTGCCATGAGTCGAGATCAACACCCACCACCTCCAGCCTCGGTGACAAAGCAAGACCCCATCTCAAAAAAAAAAAAAAAAAAAGGGTATGCAATGGCCATTTAATGGCCGGCGCGCGGTGCTCAAGCCTGTATCGCCAGCACTTGGGAGGCCAGAGAGGGCGGATCACGAAGTCAGGAGATCGAGACCTATCCTGGCTAAGCCCGGTGAAACCCCGTACTACTAAAAAAAAAAAAAATACAAAAAACCAGCCGGGCGAGGTGGCGGGCGCCTGTAGTCCCAGCTACTCCGGAGGGCTGAGGCAGGAGAATGGCGTAAACCCGGGAGGCAGAGCTGCAGTGAGCTGAGATCCGGCCAACTGCACTCCAGCCTGGGAGATAGAGTGAGACTCCGTCTCAAAAAAAAATAAATAAAAAAAATAAAAAAAAATAAAAAAAAATAAAAATTCATGTTGCTGGAAAGTAGCATAACATTTATGGGCTGCTATTGTATAATTTCATACTATCATCAATGAGTTTGCGTTTCTCAAAGGCATGCTATGATATCACTCTGTTAACTTGCAAACACTCTTCTAAGTTTTAGTACCCAGGACTAGTACTCCACCTAAAATCAGAAACGTCCAGTTGGTTCTTCCAAGCACCAACACCAGCTGCACATGACGAAGAACTCCTAGCACTCTGGTACTAGAGAGGCACTACTTATCTGCCTGGGCCTCCACCCCCATGTTATTGTGTGGAGAGAGAGCTGCTGCTGGTAGCTTCCCTGCCACCCCTGAGTTTCCTGGAGTAGGCTCTACAAAGTGCTGACGATTAAAGAGGGTAAGGAAAGGTGTGCTTGTTACTAGCTTAGGTTTCAGGGATGAAAAGAAGGTAGAAGTCCGGGTGTGATGGCTCCTTGTGTCTGGAATTGGTTCCTTCTGGTGGGTTCTTGGTCTCGCTGACTTCAAGCATGGAGCCGCAGACCCTCGCAGTGGGTGTTACAGTTCTTAAAGATGGTGTGTCCAGAGTTTATTCCTTCAGATGTTCAGATGTGTCCGGAGTTTCTTCCTTCCGGTGGGTTCGTGGTCTTGCTGACTTCAGGAGTGTAAGCCGCAGACCTTCTCAGTGAGTGTTATAGTGTTAAAGGTGACACGTCCAGAGTTGTTTGTTCCTCCCGATGGGTTCATGGTCTTGCTGACTTCAGAAGCAAAGCCACAGACCTTCGCAGTGAGTGTTACAGCTCTGCGTCTGGAGTTGTTTGTTCCTCGCAGTGGGTTCGTGGTCTCGCCGACTTCAGGAGTAAAGCCACAGACCTTCACAGTGAGTGTTACAGCTCATAAAAGTAGTGCAGACCCAAAGAGTGAGCAGCAGCAATATTTATTGTGAAGAGCAAAAAGAACAAAACTTCCACAAAGTGGAAGGGGACATGAGCAGGTTGCCACTGGGGTGGCCAGCTTTTATTCCCTTGTTCGGTCCGCCCACGTCCTGCTGATTGGTCCATTTTACAGAGTGCTGATTGGTCCGTTTTTACAGAGTTCCAATTGGTGCATTTACAAACCTTTAGGTAGACACAGAGTGCTGATTGGTGTGTTTACAATCCTTTAGCTAGACAGAAAAGTTCTCCAAGTCCCAACCTGACCCAGAAGCTGGCTTCATCTCTCCTCATGACTTTAGTCCCAGCACTTTGGGAGGCCAAGATGGGTGGATCACTTGAGGTCAGGAGCTCAAGACCAGCCTGGCCAACATAGCAAAACCCTGCCTCACAAAAATTAGCCAGGTGTGGTAGCGTGCACCTGTAGTCCCAGCTGTTTGGGAGGCTGAGGCAGGAGAATTGCTTGAACCCAGGAGGCAGAGGTTGTAGTGAGCTGAGATTGCACCATTGCACTCCAGCCTGGGAGACAGAGTGAGACTCCATCTCAGAAAAATAAAAGAAAGAAAAAGGAAAAAAAAAGAAGGGAGAAGAGAGTATCTTCATACAAGAATGAAGAATGACAGCCAACCACATAATACACATCTCAGATCCTGCTTATTTCTGATATCTTGAACCGTGCAAGACCCGGGAGCCTTGCCTACAGGGGAACAGATGTCATAGTTCACCTTTAGGATATGAGCCATTTTCCTGGGTCTAGACTTCCCCGCTCTGATGCTGCAACCTCCAACAGATCAGATAACTGAGACCTACAGATTCCACCAAAATGAAAATGTTACACTTGGATTGGGGGTAATGGGGGTGAAACTGAATGATCTATTTGTTTCATTTGTTTCATCATCTTGGTATCTTTAGCTGGGCATGGTGGTATGTGTCTGTAGTCCCAGCTACTCAGGAGGCTGAGGTAAGAGGATTGCTTGAGCCCAGGAGTTCAAGGTTGCAGTGAGTTGTGATCACACCACTGCACCCCAGCCTGGGCAACAGGGTGAAAAAACTTGCTATCTTTGTGGAGTAGGAAAGGGGGAAGGATGGAAGAGAATGAAAAGGTATGAATATTACCTCCAAATATAGTTTTGGTAAAAAGAGTTTGTACCAGAGAGGAATCCGTATGCGTAGTAGCCACAGCCCCAGGATTGAGTGGCCGGAGGTAGTTCTTTCTATAAGTAACATTGGCTCTGCTACTAGACTTGGCCACAAAAGACTGGCCCAGGAATTAACTCAGTTACCGAAGTCAAAAACATATAGGACACATCAGCCACACTGGTGGAGGTCTACCATGAGAACTCTGAGTTAGACCGTGACCAGGCAAGCTCATCAGAGCCTGGTTCTGGAAGAGATTTAATTTGAGGCACACAGAGGGAAAGCTTGAGAGGCAGAAACTAAGCTCACTGAGAAATCAGAGAAGCTGGGGCCTGAGAATGACTGACTGAAAAGAAAGCAACAGAATAACAATATTCCAGTGACCCAGCATCTGCTGTGCTCTCCCCTCCTGAGAGGACTTGACCATTCTGCACAAAATAAACTGAGGGCTTCCATGAGGAGCTCTGCAGTAAACCCGACGTTTTATCTGAGAGTACCTTTGATTCTTTTCACTGTCTATCCTGGAAAGCCATGGAACCATTTGAGAAGAGGGTTAAGAAG